ATGGATAGAGAGAGACCCTGGTTTTTAGTCCAGTTTGTTCTCTGTTTAATGACTGTAGCACAAAGGGCAGCCACATGCAGAATAGCTTCTTTGAAGCCAGTGGGGATTTTCACAGGTCTGTTGCTGCCCTACACACAAATAAAGAGTTGTAGTATATCACTGTACTGCCCCCAGATCAGGAAACATTTCATTCATGTGCACAGAGCTCCACCTCCTTACTTTAGTGTGTTGTGAGTGGTGCAGAAATCTGGAAGTTCACCATACAACCAGGATAAAGCCACCTGCCACCTGCATGAGGCATAGATGAGGCTGTACTCAGTTGTAAAGCAGGATTCATACTGTAGTGTTGCACAAATGCTGCACACTGATTCTAATTCATGCGCAGTTGCAATTAGGTCCATCTACAACATTCTACAATGCAAAAATAGGGGCTTCAAGGCACACCAAAAACCTTTCAAGTGTGTATTCAGCCTCAGTACTTAATTATTTCAGTAGTTGCAGTACCCACTATTACTGTCACTTCAATATCACTTAATCCTGTCTCCACTTCCGGCCATGAAATGATGACCGGAAGAACAAGAAAACAGTAGGCAATATACACAAGCCTTTTCATTTTATACCTTTATACCTTTACCAATGTCTTATATTTGTATCATTCATAAAAAATCTTATTTTTACCAGTAAATATTGAATTGACTTGTAGCAAATAAAAAGTAGGTGTTATCTCAATTTAGCTGCAAAACTGGAAATACACTTTTAAGGATGTTTGAGATGCATCTTTCTTCTCAAAACCTGACAGGTTTAGTTAATGTTGCTAACCATTTTATTCTATAGGGTCTTGGCATTCAGAAAATATATAATGTTGGGGGGTTTTACGTCATTTTCAGGCCTAAAATGTGGAATATAACATGGGTGCAAAAATGGAAAAAAGGGCCTCAGTCATGAAGGGGTTAAATTATACAATGGTAAATACTTCCTGGCTTGTCAGCTGTTATCTCTGTGTTCTAAATGAATATGGAAGACACAACAGGTTCTCACTTGGCTACACATCTGAAGTCAGCTGAGAAACCATATGATCAAATAAATATTCTTCAATATTTTCCCCAACATTAACAAAACCCCTCCCTATAAAAACACAACGCATGTAGGACCAGTTGGGTACCTGATTTTGGCCTATATAGAAAAAATTCATACACATATCCTGTGTTAATATAAACGATGTCAATGTGGTGGGTGGTGTTAGTCAATTGTCCATGAAACTCATAAAACTCCAAAATCAGACATAAGGACAATAGGCACTGGATGTAATGTAGTCCAACTACTGGGTATATGATCCAATATAAGGTATCAAAGATAGATGAATATATCCACTGAAGAAAGTCTCCATAGACTTACAATAGGTTATAGATGAAGGTTAGTTAAGCTGTGCGTCCTGAGGTGCTTCCTGTGAACGCACCCTGATACACATAAATTTCTCTGCCGTTGGATATATAATTTTTCTTCATCAATTGTAAGATGATTTTGAAGGCAAAAGTTGTAAACAACCAGTAGGAATGACTGCAGTCTGAATAATCAGAAACAGTCTGAAACAGCAGTACCAACCTCTGCATGATGAAAAGTTTTGCTACCTATAATTAAAAGGCATATAAATACACAACAATCTGTTGGCTAATGACTGAGTTCCTTATAACTTTACTGCTTTCAAAAATATTTGTTTAGAAAAATGTAACATCTCTTGAATAATCATAGAAAGTAGTAAAGAGTAGAAAATAAGGCCCCCAGTATGGTAAGCAATGTGAAATAAAAAAAACATCTAGCTTGATTTTTGTAATTTATTCACACACGTATCTGTGCATAAGTATCTCTGAGGTGAAAATTAGTATCCTTCTACACAACCTGCCCCATCACTTTCTACTTGAGCTGGATTGTGTCTATAGGTGGCCCATATTCTAATTATGTCTCATATTATTCACACTGTCTTGAAAAATCACATATTGTTATACTGAGGTATTGGTTTTCTATAAACGTGTAGAAAGCTCTTACCATTTTTGCATAGACAACTATTTGTGAACTTTATCCCGAGTCCTTTCTGAAATAAAATGCCTGTAGTTTCATGGTACAACAGAAAGCTAGCAAGCCTATTAGCCTATACCCTTACAAATATTTCTTAGATTTTCAATATAGAGGTTTCCGTTTTTATTTAGTAGAGGAGTAAAAGTGATCTAATAGAGGGAATGCTATGTTCACTTCAATTATTCAATCATGTACAAAATCCATTTTTTTTAAGTTTACCTGCACATTAATTGGTATTCAAAGTAAGCACATCACTACTGTATCTCCTTTGCTTAGTGAACATTCTCCACTACATCAGTAAATTGACCTGATTAGGTAGCACTTCCACTCAGGATACCCTGACTATTTTTCACATGCCATATAATGTAATACAGTGGGGTAGGGATGGTTTCTGTTGTGGTTTTCTTTTGTTTGTTTGTTTGTTTGAGTTGTAAAGTGAAAACCCTGAGAATATTCCTAGTTCCCTTTGTGAACTACACAACCCCCTCTAGTTATGGAGATAATTCCACCAAATTGTTTAATGGTGATGGTATAATTGGTAATAATCTGTTTACTCTAAGGTCCTTATCAAAGACAAGCGACCACCACCTGAGACTGGATGAAAAGAGGTATATTCTCAAACTAGGGCATTGGGGCATTCTTTACTGCCAGAGCAGTAAAAATGTGGAACTTCTCCATGTAGTGGTATCAACTGAGAGCATAGATATATTAAAAAAACTTTTTGGTGTCATCCTAGAATATACAGGGCCATGGAAACTCCTGGTGACATATACACATACACATATGTTGAACTGGATAGACCTGTGTCTTTAATCATCCTTAACAATTAACTATGCAGCCACAACTAAGGACTAATAAACTGCAATATATTAAATTGGGGTTAGACACATTTTAAATACAGATAGGATGTACAATAATAATGCTATTAGGAGAAAAAACATAATAAATATAAATCAATGCTCACTAAGATTAGCTTATTTAATATTTAAATACTATTTATTGTACCATTGTATCCTGAATTCATGATTCCTTAAAACCAAGTTAAGACCATGCATGATTACATTTTTAACCTAATCTGTGTTATACTATAATGATATTTTACAAGCTTTTTATATCTTGAATGGCTACCCCTACTTTACAGAACATTTAACAGAGCATAAATCTCTGTGGATTTCAATTGTTCAGCTCAGTTCCCATTTATATCCTTTTCTGACTTTACTGTTTCCAGAAGCTTTTAAGCAGTGTGAAAATTAACAGGCTTTTTTCAGCATGACCTCTCCCTTCCCCTTCATTCGACACAAATGAAGAGGGAATCAAACTCTCAGGACAAGTTCATTGTAAGTCTGGCAATTTTATCAAATTCACTTACAAAATGAAAGGCATTTACTTTTAATAAATAGATATTTTCTGCTTATAACTCACAATCCTGTGACGGATCAAAGAGCTTAAATTCAGTCTATAACATAATCTAATCTAACAGGGTCAATGCAGTAAGAATAGTTATGCTGATATGCTGAATCACTAAATGATAGAGCAACTCCTGATGAAATGTCAAATTTATTGGGAAATTAGATTATTAAATTAAGCTTTATAAAAACATATATTTATATTACTCTGTTTAATGCGATTCCATGGGTGAAGTTTTGTGCTAAAATCTGAAATATTTTGGATTTGCACTCTGGATTCTATGGATTTTTTGTCAGTAGTGTTCTTTTGAATTATTAGCAGATGGCATTTTACTAGTCTGAAAGTGTTGTTGGGTTATTCCACTGGGGGAAAAAGACAATGTTTAAACTTGAAGCAACTACAAGCAAATGTGTCATAATAAATCAATATTTATTTCAATATCTTCACTTACAAGCTTTTAAGAGAATAAGTACTACTTTATAAAACATGGGCAGAACCACATTTATTTGAAATACTATTATGATTAAAACATGTTTTCTGGGAGTGCATTCATTTATTTGAAGTTTATTCAACCATGTTTTAGGTTGTGCATAATTTTAGTATAATTCACAGCTTAATGCAAAATTGGGAATTATGTTAATTAGGACTATTCGCATTCCTTGGGTCGATGCTATTTGGTGGAGCTGACAATGAGATTTTCTTTATGGGGTGCCTATTTACAATTACCTAATGTATAGTACATTGTACTCTAGCCAGAGAACATCTGGTACATTGTAAGTACGTACGGGAAATCCAATGGGGCTCCCACTCTTACTAAGCAGCAGATGCCCTAATAATGGTTCGATTGCCTAATAAGGAATTATAGCTGAGCTATAGGATAAGTAAGGCCCAGGGGAAGCCCAATGGGTCACCACTGGATACTCCTCTGAACCTTAAAATGAAGGTAGAGTGAACATTTGTGTGGACCTCCAAAAACTAATCTCTCCCTCATCCCAGTCTAGATCAAATTTGGTGGATTAATTTCCTTGAGAAGCCAAGGAAGTGTTTAGATACTACCTAATGCAAAGTGTGTGTGTGCATATGAGTGGGTTAAACGGAGAAGGGGGATGCAGGAGGGATTAAATACAATTATATTTGTTATTGCTTTATGACAATTAACCCTAATAGTTCTCAACTGTAATTGTTTGTTGAAATCAGCCATACAGGGCCGAAGTGAATAGCCAAACTGAATTTGGCTCACTTTGGTTTGGTGATTCACTCAGCTTCCTTCGGCAGCTTAGTGAATAACCCCCATGGTCTATGCACTGCATTTAATTCTCCTAGTGAAATAACAAGCACATATTCAGCTATAAAGATCAATTAACAACAACAATCATGCATGCACAGCAAGCTGCCTTTAAATGTTATGTAGCAATCTTTAAAATAAATATTATTTGTGTCTCAGTTTGTATATTTACATATGAATATTTTATATAGACTATAAATAAAGAAGAACATTGGAAAAAAAAATGTTTTGCTACTTACTGGATAATCACAAAAGTAATAAACTGGAAAGTTGCCATAATAATAAAACACATTCCTGGAAATGTTGATAGGGTAGCAGGGTAAAGCCCATTGAAAATAGCTGCACCAATGAGTAAACATATAGTTTCTACAGATGCCATAATCGAAAACATTGCACCTAAAGTAAAAAAAAAAGCAAAAGAAAAGCATATTATACACAATGTACTTTAATGTAACATCTGCCAATAAAAACACTTTCTTTGGAAGATGGACAGAAGGGCACATCGCATGTGTTTCAATATTGTTGTACTACTAAGACTACAAATTAGTATAAATTGAATTTTTTCAGTGATCTTCCACTACTCTTCTTTTTCCTTACATCCTTTGGGTGAAATGGGCAGAGTCATCTATATCAAGCAGTCAATGTGGCCATAAATGTTTAAATTTGCATTTAAATATAAGAGCCATTTCCCATGGCAAACCACCACTGCTTGCTGTAATGGCATTAGCACAGATTAACCAGGCTAGACAAAAGCATTATGTTACACTGGTAAAAGGACATGGATTTCCCCTACCCAACTCCTGCATTATTTATCCTCCTTCCCAACCAGAAATAGCTTTCAGCCCAATAACTCCCATACCTGTCAGTTCATCAGATCACTGCCTACACTTTTGTCTGCCTGACAGATTTCAAGACCTAAAATACCTATATTTATATTTAGCAAATTGGTAGGTAGCACAGCGAGGGGGGGGGGGGTTGAATGATTTTTGAGTGTGGTGTTTTCATGTGTTGTTGTGATGTTTCATGATGGGTTGCCTTGAAAACATCAATAATTTCTGAAGTTCATTTGTTTACTTTGAGTGGATTGAAATAGGAGGGTGTAGCCCCTATAGTGTGTCTGTGCATAAAGGGTTTTTAGTAAATAAATCTTGGGCAGGTGGTGTACTATGGCAGGTTGCCATGTAAAAGTCTGTTATTAGTGCAACTTCTTTTATTTACTATGAGTGCAGTGAATTCGATTAGAATGATTAGGTGGGTGAACAGTTAGAGTGAATCTGTGTAAAAAAAAAAAAAAGGGTTGACAGGGTAGCCATTGTTTCTGAGGATGTCTTGAATTTACAAAACATTTCTTTATATGATCTTGTGGTCTGCAACTGTTTTCTTCTTAATATGATGCTATTCTGGATTTATGAGACTTGCATTTCACATATTTTATTGCTTGTTCATCACAAATTGTATTGTGTTTTATGTTATACTAATGAGGGGAAAGTGTTAATATTTTTAAAGTGTATTTCCACTTTTGCAGCCAAATTGGGATAACCCCTATTTTATATATTGGTACAAACAGAAGCCACACTCTATAGATCTTCTTACTTGAATGCACACTTTATTACTGTGCATATAACAGATACACCATACAAATGCTCCCCAGATCATCTCACGCATTTCACCTACCAAGGCTTAATCATAGAGATAAGATTCTTACACCTGTGTACTCAGAGATATAGACCAGCCCTCTCCCTCCACTATACACATGTGTGGGGAGAGCTGTATCTTAATCAATAGTTTAACCAGATTGCTCCCGGTCTGTCACACTATTGGAGACCATCCCTCATCAAAATGACCAAACCAGCAGCATTAAAGTACAGTCATCAAAATCTAACAACACTACAGCACACCACCTTACAAAATAAACAAAAACTAACAATCATTTATAATAATATATACAAGCCGCATTCAGAACATAACCTTTCATGCCTACAAACATGCAGGTGAATAATATATGTGCTAGATCCACCACAAATCAAAATTGACAAGCATAGAAAATGAGAAGATAAATCAGTGAATTCACAGCAAAACATCACAAAAAATATTTCCAAAAGAGTTCAATCAACTTATCTGGATAATGTCCTGCTCACCTACTTGTCTTGTCGTCCACAGCGCTATAGCAGAAAGAGTTAAATCAACTTGTCTATGTAACATTCCGCTCACATATAACATTGCGCTATATAGACAAGTTGATTTAACTCTTTCTGATACATGAGATACATTGTAGCAGAAGAAGCGCTATGAATAGTTTCGGTCTGATTTAGCGCTGTGGATGACAAGACAAGATAGGGAGCGCTGTGCTATATTTTGCTTTATTCATTTTTTGATAATAAGCACAGCAGCTATTTATAGCAAATAGGCGAATGGATATAACTCAGAGTTCTTGGAGCTATACTTGTTTTTTTGAGGCTTTGCAATTTTCCATTTTTGGAAATACCAGAACACAGTATCACCCTTGCCCTTGGTTTGGAACAGTAAATTCCTTTATGTGCTACTCTATATAACCTCTTCAGCATTTAAAGCCCAACAGTTTTATTCCCTGACATAATAGGCTATTGGCAATTGAAAGTATATTTTCTAAAATCAGAAATATTCTGCTTGTGATTGTTTAGTTTAGATATGCCATGTGGCAAAAGTTTCTTTTTGGTGGACTGGTTCATTTTCTTTACAGATTTACAGTTTTCCTGTATTAGTTTGTTGTCCCTTAACATACCAGGCCAACACATTAACTTTGTAGACAGCTGAATGCTTTGATGAGCTCTATGCCTTCTGCAGCAATTTCATCCACTGACATAAACAGGTCATTGAGAACCGAGTTTAAATGACACAGTAGCCAAATACCTTATTAGTTAAGAGGCATTTAATTTTCCCAGGTTTAGGCCATTTTCTTACAACAGTGGTCAAATGACATTCAACTTTTTATAAACAGCCTTCAGATAAGTAACTGCAAGTTGTCACCTTGCATATTCTCAATTCCACTTCAATATTTTGAACAATTTTCATCATGTCTATAAAGGTATTTTCATTCAGCCTATGAAGTTTAAAAGGTGTGACTTGGCCTGCTAAAGATGCAAAGTGAAACATGAAATCTGAAATGTGAAGTGAAATGTGTAGAGTTTAGCAGCCCTTGCAAAATGTGTAAATCAGTCAAACTGAATACCAGGAAGAAAGTTCTTTATTCTTTGATGAAATGTTGGTAAATAGAAACCTACAACAGGTGATTAAAAGTTGTAATTTTTTTTGGCCACGACAACACATCTTTGACAAGAACATTTATATCTGGTGAGTCTCTACAATGAACATTACTAAATGTTACATTTTATTAATACATGATAATAGATTTATATTGTAAAATGTTAAGAAATAATCATGATGTGCTACTTTTTTAATCTGGCAAACTAAAATGAATGCATACAGATGTAGCTATGGTTCTGTAACTGTAACTAAGGGATCATAAAACAATAATAAATGCAATTCTCTATAAATGTACTGGTTTAATTTATGTATTTCTTAAATATTTCTTATAATATGTGTTTCTTAAATATTGTTTAAAATATGTTTTTAATAAAACTGCTAGAAAAATGCATTCTTTTTCTTTAAATTGATAATGCTCTTTATTAATAAACATTTCTCCTTCTTAATTAAAATGTGTTCCAAGATTATCTTTGTATGTATCTGCTTTTTCCAGTGTTTGGTCCAGTCAAAAACAAGTCAGACTAGTTTTCAGAAAATTGGTTCGCCATTCATTCCCATTGCCATAAAATGTAACCTTCTTAGTGGTTCTTAGGCATGCTTAACCCCTTCGTGACGGGAGACGTACAGTGTACGTCCCGACACTTTGTGCCTATATGACTGGCCACGTACACTGTACGTGACGAGTTATATCAGGCTTTGTAATGCTGGTAACAGCTGATTCTCAGCAGTTACCAGACATTAATGAATGCCTCAGTATTGAGGCATTCATTAATGAAATAATTAAGCTTTTTGTAAAAGCTTCTTCCTTTCAGTAATGAAAGAATGAAGCCGTTACATGCAAATACAGGACCGCAATTTGCAAAAGTACTTTGCTAAGCCTGATAACCACCCTTCTAATCCTATGGTACAGACATATTTATATAGTTAATTTTAATTAAAATAAATATGTTTACAAAGTCATCCAATTTCGGATGCAGTGACTAAGAAGGTTATTCACTATAGAGCTGAAGGATCCAGCCATAGCTTCGGCTGATCCTTTGGCTCACTTCGGCCGCCGGAGAACTTTGGTTCAATCGAACCGAAAGGCAGCTGTTAGGGCTATTCGCTATAGCCCGTACAGCAGCCGAAGGCAGGCAGATGGCTCAGCAGAGCTGAGCGCATATGCTTCGGCTCAGCTGAGCCGTAGTCTCAGCTGAAGCGGGGCGAACGATCTGCCGAAGCAGACCGTCCGCCCCATAAAGGACAACAGCTGGGCGGACGGACGCTCAGTTGTTATTTTTTGCCCGGGTCCTGCGGAAAGACTCTGGCATGTTTCGGCTAAATGTAAACAGTTGGGCAGCATCTCTATTTTGCCAGCATCTGTCAGATTTTTCATTCTGCCGCGGGAGTTCGTGCTGTGCAGTCGGGGCGGCAGTCGTCAGGTTTTTTTTTTATTATTTTTTTTAAAAATTATTTTTTTATTTTTTTTAGTCGTCATCATCCTGGACAACGCTGAACATCTTGATTGCCCTTAGGATTACGTTGGTGGATCAATGTTTTTGATTTTGAGATGATATAGTTGCTAGTGATGTCATGGCTCATGCTGTGATCCCATGCAAAGTGATAGGCAGCATCTTCTTTCAATGACGTGCTCCTGTGTTGCATTCTTTACTGATTTACTTGTTAAAGTGTATCTAAAGCCTTAACTTTTAGTTTTGTTTTTATATGGTTAGGGGTTTGAACCATTGTTGAGTTTCTGTTGCAGTATATGTCAATTTTAAAGAGCCTCTCCCTCTATTTTTCCTGATGACCATTGTCACTGGGACTGAAAGTAAGTGAAAATCCAAAAATCTGCATCATCACCAGAACAGCAATGAAGGGAACATATTCTGGGGGAAACTTGTTCAGGTGACTGCTAAGGGCATTTGCCTCACTTAAGATGAGTAAGAGGAGAATTTTTCCTAAGTTTGGTGAGATTTCCACTCACTGTGGTGTCTTCAAGTGGAAATTAAGGAAAATCTTCCCAATAGAGCATGAAAAAACCCTCCAAAAAGAGAGGTTTTAACCATTCCTTACCCTGTCCAAAATAAAAAAAACCTTTGCTACATTTTACAATCTGTAATTTAAAACTAAGTACATATAATTTAACCTTATCAAGTGGGCTGATTAAGGAA